GCAATAATAAATAATAGTAATTATATATTTACTGGCATGCACCTATGTACAATGTAACAAAGGAGAAATTGACAAAGCCCAGTTAATAAATAATTTGTAAGAGATGGTTGCAGCCGTACAGGTTTTACTTACAGCAGAGAAAGATGTGACGGGGCACTTGAATTTTTTTTAATTACAAAACTCTTATCGCTCTTGAAAGATAAAGAAGTGGACACAAGGATGCAATAAATTAGTAAACAAGTTCATCAGCAATAGACCTTACTGTTCATCTGCGCCATTTACACAGCAAACGTTTTCATTGTCTGAGCTCACAAACTGCAGTAAATACACCCAGCGGTCACAAATATCTTTCGCAACATGTTAAGATCTACATAAATTGTGCGTCATCCCTATGAATAGTCTTCCTTGAACTTATTCTGAGAGCATCCTAGTTTCTAAAAAAGAAACAAGTTTTAGTATCTTGCTCCAATTTAAAATGTAGTTATCGTGTAAAAATGTACCCTGCCAATTATTCTTAATACTGTATCTACATCAAGATTATACAAAACAATACATTGCTTTTAAAATAATACAGAAAACGTCATCACCAATTTGAAATCTCAAACAAATGTCTTACGTCAACGTTCTCGTTCGTTGTTAATTTGTCGCTTACTCTACTGCACGTTAGTGGACAATTCATTTATCTTGGTGACTCTTGTCTTGGCACGTTTACAAAAATCTGTTAAGTACTCATATGTGGGGAATAGGCACCTACTCACGTTCAATATTTGTCTTCAGATCCGTACCTTATAATAATGTAAGGGAAGCATTTAGAATTTTAAAAATATATGAGGAATTATTTTTGAATCGTGCACTATTCTTTATGAATTCCATTATAATTTAAACAGTTTGATCCAAATGGAGTTCAGCAGTACTAGCTTCTTGAGAATTGATCACAGTTCACAGAATCTCTCCTAAATTTTATCACAGAAAAGTTACCCAATTGTTTTTTAAATTTATAATTATTAAATATGAATTGTTAATACTTGTGACATGACAAACTGAATTGTTGACGTCTAAAATATGAAAAGTGTTCGAGGAGAGTTTGCTGAAAACCTTTTAAGGGATGCTCACCATTACTTAGTCATACCATTGACTAGCTTTTGGATGCGATTAACTTATTTTTCAAAGTCTACTTTTCGTCACGGTCATTCTCAGGGTAACGTTAATTAGGGCTTGTATCTACTAAGACACTGTGAGCTCCTAGGGAATTAATTGAACTAAGATTCATAGTGATCCAAATATTCTTAAAGGTAAATCACATTACATTTTAAGTTCTAATAGTTTATTGCCCGTAAACATGAGAAGAAAACTTTTAATAACACCTGCATATTCTGCATAGTCTCCAGTTATGAGATTAGGAAGAGTCATTTTAACTTTCCTATTACAACGGGCGAACAGATCTGGGAAGGCTAGTCAGTGCAGAGGGTCCTCTAAACACAAACCATTGACAAATTTTCACGTTATCCAAAATTTTCAAAAATAAAAATAGATTTTGTGTTAAGAAACATTTGAGAATATTACACGACACTGATTCAAGAAAAACACAGAATCACGTCCTCGAAACTATGGAACAGAACCATTTAACTGTCAGCAAATTACAGCGATTTAAATCATAAACGCGGAAGTCCAAGTAAAATTAATCAGTTAAGTAACAAAATTTCAAACCGTTTGTATTCTCCGTCGCTTTCTACGCGGCTTACTTTTGTATTTATAGCCTCATAACATTTTTTTCAAATCGACCCAAAACAAGAGCTACTTATACATCACGCATCACTTAACACCACGCGACAGCACTCAAAAACCGAGCTGTACTTCCAGGATAATGCACATCGCGAGCGCAAACCCGACAACAAGCGAGCGAATCAGCGTTTCGTCGTGGGGGCACCCACGCGCGCAGACATACGGCCCCATTACAAACGAGCGCTCGTCATTCCAGCTCGTTGCCCTCCCCCTTTAGAAAATGGTGCGGCGGGGCGGGGCGGGGCGGGGCGCGGGCGTCGATCCGGGGACCCGCGGGCGGACGGCGGAGGCGGCACGCGGGCGTGGGCGCGGGAAATGACGTCACAGCCGCCGCCCCGCGGGTGCGCGCCGACGCCGCCGCCGCCGCCACCGCCGCCGCCACTCCACCACCGTCGCACCGTACGGGGCCGCAGGCGACCTCTCGCCGGGTGACATAAGGAGAGAAGAAAAGGGGCGTGACGCGATCTGTTTCGGAAGCGGCCGCGCCGAGCGGCGGGACTGCTGGGAGGGCGTGGGCGCGCACGGTGACCCCGCAGGTTGACGTGGGAGAGGCCATGTAACAACTTCGGTGCTGCTGAAGCTCCATAATGAGAACATCGCTATCTGGAACCTCTATAGTGTTCGCCTTAACTCATCATTTGTAATGGTCTTCTAAACATCAGAAACGTCGTATAAAAATATAGTAGGTTGCTTGTGCTGATTCTGAAGGGCAGGGAAATGTTAGCAGAATAGTCGTAGGGAGAATGGGTCGCAGGGACGGATGTAGGGAAGGAGAAAAAGAGAGACGGGAAATAGGAAGGAAGAAAGGAAGGAAGAGAAATGGAAAGGGAAAAAACTACCATTAATAACCTGTTGCATTTGTTCAATGATTCAACAAATACAAGAGAAACGTCCAGATCGTTTCGAGTCGCACGTCCTCTGCAATATTTACAATACTGTTATTTGTGTGAATGTTTTTACTGTCACATTGTAGAGAAAATAAAATTGTGTTGTGTACACGGCACACCCGTACACCCCAGTTTTTAAAACCTTTTCCAACTCTTAACTTCCATTCTACTGATATAACACATTAGATCCTAAGTACCTTCCCTTTCCACTACATCTTTCAACAATAATATCAGTTTCATTTACCGGTATGTAGAGCATAAAATATTCTTATTTCTCAGACCTTCCATCATTTTCCCTCGTCTCATCATATATGTCACATCTTTCTTCATCCACACGCAATGAGATTCCAGAATGTCTATGGAATAATGAAAGTTTAAATTGGAAAAAAAAATTGAAAATAGTGTATCTTTGCATAATACATACTACGATGTACTTTTTCTTTCTAACATCAGATAACTAAATTTCTTTTTAATTTCAACTGAATTTCAACTAAAAAGAAAAAATGATCATTGTACAATAAATATAAAGATGATTTTAGTTATATTTCACTTCAGAAATACATTAGTGTTATTAAGTAATAGACAAATAGTGTACGTTTAATTGCGTATTCCGAGTTTATTGGTGCACTATTCTTGAACATACTAATAAATGTGAATATAACACTACATTCTCTTGAGTAATCATTAGTGCAATTCAAGGTTAACACGATAATTTGCGCTGAAACTTTGTTATAGCATTCAAAAATAGTTGATAACGACCTGCCATTCGCACGTGATATTACACTTGTAGAGCAGATCCTCACCAGAAACTGCCAACTTTCAGAAGTTCTTGTAATGTTTTATTTTATTTAATTCATGACGGCCCTATTTGCACGGGGCCTGTAATCGTAGCTTCCAAAGCCGACGTCCTTGGGATCCAAGCCCAGCAGCTGGGCACGGTGGTTATTCGAAGAAGAAACATTCTATGTCCCATTTCCCGATTCTGGCATGTCTTAACAAACCTGACAAAATGGACAAAATTAACCCATCCGACAACTCCCCTTCCAATCCCATTTGCTATTGCGTAGGGAAATAAAATAACGAATACCACATTAAATGACACGCCATTGTGTTGTTTCGATCACTAGTGGCAAAGAGAAGTCAGAAACAGATGATAGTGTCAAAAATACGAACCTGGTAGTGGTGTCAATCTATGTGGTGCCAAAATTGAAATTGAAAAAACACTTCGTTCTTTTTTTAATGATATTTATTGAATGGAAGTTTAAAATCGTTGCCACCAACACATTTGACGCTCTTTAGAGTTCTGATTGAAGAGAACTAGTTCATATATTACGTCCACAGTACGTCTTGTTTGATACTGAATATCTATCATAAATATATGAAATAGACCGGAAAGTTAATCGATCATTAAAATAATCAATATCATTGTCATATGATAGCAAAAATGTCATTTTCGATTACATTGTAGATGTTCAGATGATCAAGTAAAATGTCGTTGGTGCTATCCCCTCTCTATAAAACATGTTAATGTAAGATGACAGTTTTGTATAATTCATATGAAATCATCGACACAAAACACAAGTGTATTATTGCTGAATAGGGAATTACCTCCCAGTCCTGTATCAAAGAAATTGAAGACGAAAGCTTAGAAGTTCGCGTATTATGACATTCTACGTAGGAAATCGGGCATATGTGCAATCGCATCACGCATTATTCTGCATCACTCTCAACTGCCTTCCATAACTCGAAAGTTTTGCGACCCATCCCGTATCATGTGTTGTCAAAAGCAATGGAAATTGGGTTCCAATGCGAAGCAATTTTCACTTTTAAAACAATAATTAAAAATGTGTTTTTTAAGAATGCATTTAAAAAATATTTATTGTGGGCCACTGCATTACATTCTTTAGTGCTTCCGCTCTTTTGGGTGCTCTAGCTTTTCAGAACTTCTCGTTACATCCGCCAAGGAATTACTGCACTATCCATTGCCGTATAGTTTAAAAACAATATTTTGTGATAAGAAAAAGTATTTAAATTATATTTTGGAATTTGCTGTTTATTTTCCAGGTTAATATGAGAGGGAGAGTATGTTATAGAGAGAGTTAGAGAGAGTTAATATGAGAAGGTTTTTACATCCAGGGAGCATTTGCAATAATATTTGGAGGAACAGGTGACAGAACACATGAGACAATTTTTTTCATAATTATTCTAAAATTCTATTTACATTGATCACTTAGGCCTAACTTGCAAATTAGATACTCACCAACTCACCTAAATCTACTTTGCCTCGCATGTTAATTAATTATAACACCGAACACATGGGGAACATGGAACATGGGGAACGAAATATGTGGAGAACAAGGAAATAGAGGACTGAGAGAGAATATGCAGGAAACATGGGATCAACATCTTACGAAAAGAATAGGAGATAATATGAAAAATATGGGGAAACTTGCGGAGGTATACACCGCATGGCGAGCGTGTAGACGAATATGCGAGAAACGAGAAAGAACATGCGGGGCAATGTACGGACAAGGGGCGGGGCAACATGCTGAGAACGTACGGGATATATGTGGGGGAACATGCACTGAAACACATGGAGGTCAAGTGCATCCCGAGTCATGTTTCTTGAGCAGTATTCCACAAAATGCCACCCTTCCGAAACTTTCGTTGCATTTTTTTTAGTTTTAGATTTTAGGTGTATCCCCAATTCGAACGAACCAAAATTCGGAATCTATACAAAATTAAATTGGCGTGTAAATATATCCCTCAAGAAGGGCGTATAATGCATACACTTCAGAGCATAGCCGTTCGATGTTGGCAATCAGTATGAAGCTATTTTCACTATTAAAAGAGTGATTTACAAAGCGCAAAATATTTGCCCTGGCGCAGTGAGTTTATTTTCATAAACAGCTTTTGATGTCGTTCTGTTGTGTCAAAGTCAAAAATCGACTACTGTAACTTTCCATAGAAAATATAACCCGACAATGACTGCGAAATGACATTTACCGAAAAAACAATAAAGTCCTTAAAGAGAATGTGATTTTCATTTACTGTATTGAGTGACCTCTAGAATTGTACCTACTTCAGCGAGGATCTCTGAAAAAGGTGACTTTTGATGTCTCCTATCTCTCGGCAGTTACCTGCACGCGACGGAACACACGTCACATTCCCTGAACTGAACAAGGACTAACACCCCAGATATGCATCCTAATTACATGGAGAGCTCTTTCAAAGATCCCAAGTGTACAGGCCACCTCGCCGCTCTTCTCTCTGCCCGGGTTCAAACATCCACGTGCAATACCTGGGTACAGAATTGGATTCACAAGTTTCACTCCATCCTTCTTTCCTTCCATTACTCTCCACGTCTCACATCATTCATTAGACTAAGAAGAATTATCACTAACACAAGTGTTGTAACACTACGTAAACATCTGCAAAATAAACATTTTTCTTAAGTCGAATAAAACGGATTGACAATTTGCGAAATAATTGATATGTTAAATGGATATAAGAAACGAAGAAAAGCCTCATCTCCCTCCTCTCATTAAATACGATTCACATACGAAATGTTAAAAATTTTAGATACACCTTCATGTTTTCGTATGAAAAGAAACGAAAAGGTATAATAAACATACATTAAATAAGCTTACATAAAAAAACAAATTCAACACATGGAACGTAACACCAAGAACATTCACAGTTTCAGCTTTATACTAATATTTACACTTAAAACGTGCTCTCATATCTCAATACAACATACCATTTTCAAACCGGTTTAAGAATCTCACGGCGTCAGTGTATGTTTCTCCAGTGCCTCTGACCGGGAGTAGTAACAAAACCTAAACCTATAATTAGCAACAAGCCCCATAATTAGCAACAACTTTCAAATGGAAGTGTTAGTCCCTTTGGCTCAAAAAAAAGTTTTACAATTAATATTACAATTTTAAGGTAATATGAAATTCATCATTTAACATGTCCTTTGTCTTATACCTTTCATTCAAAGTATTGTATCTTCTTTAATAGTTGCCTGTCTATTATTTGCAGCCAAAATTGAACTTCATGGCTGATCACGTACTGAAGAACAAAAATAAAACGAACACCTTCATTATCACACCTGAGATTCATTCGAGCATCTCTTCTCAACCTGCAATGAAAAGACTGTTCTCCTCCGCTTTTTGTAAGAGAACAGACCCCGAGAGAGCTACTAGAGTAACAAATGAAATCGCTGTCTCATTGAGGAGCTGCATTTCTTTGGCGGTGAAACGCTGTCCACTTACCAAAGAGAAGAGAACAGAAGACAAGAGGGATTCGTGTCAATACACATGTCTTCTTATTTTGAATTGCAACTGATCTTCAAAACATTAGTCGTAGTTTCATTTCACAAATTTTTGGTATTTGTAGATTGTAATATATTGCGAAAGGTTTTTTAAAAAAGATAATTACACAATTGGTAAATTCCTTCAATATAATTAGCGGATTTTTGTACTACGGCTAGTTGACCCAAGAGAACTGACTTATGCACAAGTAGGATGTGACTCAGGAAAAGCATGAACAGCTATAACTCTGAATATAACTAAGCTATAACTAAGAATAATAAAAGCTTTTATTTTCTGCTTTAATGACTCCGCGGTCATAATAAATGCTTCACCTGGTCTAATGTACACGCACGACGTCCGAGAACATTCGAGTAAAGACGCAGTCGAGTCGAGATTGTATACAATAGCTATAGTTAAACGGGTCTGATTTGCGTCATCAGCTAGTGTATGTTGTCCCCCGTTGTCTGTAAAGGGATTGACTACATTTGAATAAAATATGTTTAATGTCAATGATTTGTACATGGAGTGAAAGTCGATAGAGTACACCGTATGGGTTTACCTCAGAGCCAGCATTGCCGCAGTGCCTGCAACGACTCTGGCTAGGGGGCCGTAGGTTCGAGTCTCGAGAGTAGCGAATTTTCGACTCTCGCTATATAGCTACGTCAGATTCAGTCGCTGTCTGGAGGACATCTCCGGTGCCCGGCTGTTCTGAAAAGTTTACCGTAATTTACTTCCAGTTCCTTTTCATATACTCTCCCCTTACACATAATTACACTTACATGCTCTACACTATCACACATGTCGGGCGACCAATTGGAAGCCTAGAGTTTGACCCGGCTAGATAAGTGCCCCATTGTGGGGAGATACCTGATGGTGGATATACCTCGGAAGACGTGTTGGCCGGCATTGTATCTCATTATCCACTAGAGAGAAACGCCATTATAAGCGGCAAAAAACCTTTACTACACTAACGGGACTAACGAGCAAATGACGTGCCCGGAAACATCAATCACCGGTCCATCGATAGAATATGTAAATTGACAAGTAAACTCAACTAATTGAACATTAAGATTTTATGAATTTCCTCAATTTTGTGTTTTCCAAGGACCATTTTCTAAATTTACGTTTAAATCATTATTTTGTTTTGTCGACACTCAGAACAATGGGTTTCGTCTGCTTCCGTCATTCCTTGCGTTCTTGGGCCGCATCAATTTCCCTCAGCCTTGTGTCTGTTACGTGACACCGAGGTTCGCACGAAATTCATGTGTGATGTTCAGAAAGTCTCCTAGAATCACGCAAACTCGTCTTCGTAAAAGGAGCGAGGTGAGGACTATTACCAAACGTCAATAACACACGTCGTAACTATATCGTATATGGGGTAGGACATTTTTCAGTTAACCTGAAGAGGTAGAGCTCTTGAGTGAGAGGTCAGAGAACTTGATGAGCGCGGTGTCTATCACATCTAAAAAAAACACAATTGCCCTACGACCCGTTTTCTTAAGCGGTCTGCTGCGCGGAAATGACAAGTAGACATTAAAATAAGATTTAAAAATGAGCTTCCTAATTCTTTATTAATTGAGACCCTTGCAGTTAAAAAATGTAATACCCTAAACTTTTTTAATTTTAATTTTTGTTTGCTACCTTTACATTGGTGTTCAATTTGTAACCTTACTATGAACTTTCCTGATACTTCTCAACACCATTTCAAAATAATTATAGTTTTATATTTTATTTGAACGTAACTGTGCTTAATACTTTTTTAGTGCTAGAAGAACATTGACAAAAGTACAGAGTAAAATTGAATATCTTTGGGTGTCATTCACCATCAGGCCTTTCACCAGGCCTTTCCCACCATCATTTTATTGGAAAGTATAACACTCCTTTTTCTCGCAGTTTTTATAATGTGTGCTACTATTGCAGTGTCCGGGCACGTTTAGCTATATACGGTCTTTGAATTAAGGAAGGCAATCCAAAAGAAAGCGATAATTACGAAGGCCGGTGAAAGAGAAACTGTGCAGTTTGTGATCCCTCTCCGGGGAATTGTCATGGTATTTGCTTGAATCAGACAGAAGAAAGCTACAGTAACTATTCATTTGGACAGACGAATCACAGAATTCTCTTCCACCGACCCTTTGAGATCCACAACATCGAAGATGGAATCTACGAACTCGAAGAACACAGATATACTACATATCTTCATTTGGACATCACGCAACCCTGAGATCAATAGTCTGTGGTATTAGCTGTCATTCGTCACCCTCGATTTGGCCAATCGATTTCCCTTTATTCTTATTCTCTCTTCCTATAGTAGTCGTCATTCTTGCAATTTTCGTTCTCCGTTCTTTGGAGTTAACAAACCTTTGCTCTGAGAATTCTCATTTTAAATGAACTTCACTATATCACTTCACAGGAATCCATTTCATGGTATAAATCCATTATTTCTACATGCCTTTTCTCCCCATACGTCTTGTCCTTGAGCACGGTCGTATATTCTCCGAACCGCGACGGGCCCGCGTCCTCCCGTACCCCTCCTGTACCGTGCCTCCTGTACCTCCTGTACGGCCTCCTGTACCGTGTTTGCGAAGCGCCAAGGCCGCCTGCTATATGCAGCGGGCGCGAGAGCGGCTGGCGTAGGAGGCCCTGCCTGAAACGGATCGCTGCGCCGCGCAAGTCAAGCCACCCGACAGGCGGACGGATCCGAGGCACACATGTGTGAGGAAGGAGGGGCAGCTTTGCATATCTTAGCTTGGTCTCCGAGGAGGTTGAATAAGATCGCGATCCTGCGATGACTAAGATGAGGACCGCGTTTTGTATGAACGTCATGTACGACTGATGCAGAAGAGGGCGGTGCGCCAAGATGACTGCTGTTGTGCGTCATTGTCACGTGGGTTCAAGGACCCATTTGTGTCTTAATCAAAATTCAAGTTCTCATCATTTTTTCAATTTCTCAAATTCTCCTACTTCCTGTTCTGGTCCTGATACAATAACTCTCAAGCTAACGATCCCATACATTCATTGTCATTTTAATATTCACAAAATACACCGGTTTTAAAATTTATTTTCCCATAGAAAACGTAATTTCAAGAAATATCTTCTTAAATTGTAGATAACCCCAAAAGACTTTCACGATAATCAAATACGTAATGCAGAAAAGGTGATAACTGTTGTAACAGGAAGACAATTTTCCGCAGTAGTGGCTTTCCGGCTGGCTTTTATGTGTGAATATCCGTTGCATCATCGTCTCACACCGGAAATACAAGCCACCACAAATATCATAACAACGATTAATTGTAAATCAAGAAGCAATGACAGTGTAATATATGTCTACCCCAGACTGAAGGAAGAAGTAGGTTCATATTTTTCGGAATAATATTTTGTGAGTTTCTTCCCATCTAAGATTTCAATTAATTAATGATCATTGAAGATGAAAACCATTAGATATTGAACTCATTAAAGAATTAACGAAATGTGATGATTCTACAGGAAAGAATCCGGAACAGCACATTACATTATTAAATATTTAAAGACATCTGCAGGAATAAATAAATGAAACAAGTGCACAATACAACCATGAATAAGCGTCTTTAGAGCAATGGGATTTTTTGAATCTAAATTGAACAACGCTCTTGTATATATTATATGTTGTGTACGGAAATGAACTTTTTATTAAAAGAGATCTGAAAACACGAAGTGCGTCACACAAATGTTTAAATATGGGAACTTAAAAAACCCTGCAACATCTCTCTAGACGGAACTTCTCTCATTACAAAAAACAACCGCGGACACGGGGCGGGGCCGGGCGCTCAGAGCTCCAACTGCATATGACGTGATGGCCTTAGTTCACCGGTGCGATGCGGGAAAATGACATCATCAGATAGCGGCGGTGGACGCGTGGCCCTGCGTGTCAACAGGTGCGCGCGCCCGACGGCCGCTCCCGGGCCCCTTCCATTCTCTCCTCACGGCGTCGCCGAGACCCGCTACCTCTGATGTTCGTTAGTCAACGGCTTATTTTATGTGGCGAGACTCGGGCTATCAGGCCCACTCTTCTGTCTGACCACGCCAATTTCGCTACGCTCCTTTCACTCGCTAGCGGAGAAAGGAGGTATCACTCGTGCGACGAAACAGGAGATTTTGGATTTACGAATAGGTCAGAGGCTTCTTTTAGTATTGAGAATCTTTTATATGCAGTAAATCTATAACATGAAACAGCCGGCTTTACTTCCTCTCAGAAAGAATGCGTACGAAGGACTTTTTCGCCCTTAAAGAAATTCACGGCTTTGACCGGATTTGAACTTGCAAACATATGTACAACAACCCAACACCCAAATCGTTACACTATCGAACTCGCAAATACCATCGAACATCTCTCTATGGCGTCGCCGGGTATATAAATTGCGGACCAGAAGGAAAATGAGAGTTTAACGCATATGTAAATTGCGGACCGACTACATCATTCACTTCCAGGTAAAAGTGGAAGGTGTCACTTTCTTTTCGAAGAACATTTTCAAAGCCTTAGTTCTAAAACACAACTCCCTTCCCAGTTTTCCAGACTTAAGACAAGCTTATTTCGTTCAAAATATGATTTGGTTAAAGTTGGTTTTCTTTCAATTGAATCATTGGTTGATTGAATGAATTCTGTTTTTCTTTCCATTTTCTTAGCTAATATTATATAAATCTAAACTTGAAATTTGGACGCTCTTCTATTGCTTTCTGTGCTTTTCATTTTGATATAGAAGGGAAACTGGAAGATTTTCAATAGGCTACAAGGAAAAGCAGCGCGGCGGCGGCGGTGGCGGCGCTCCCCCCCCCC